TGCCTGAACACTGGTTACCACGATGCGCTATGCTGACTAGTTTGGGGGTGGTTGGAAGAAAGTTAGGGTTGGCCAAACCAAAACGTGACACCAGTCCTAGTCTGAGCCATGTTGGTAGATGTAGACTACTTGGTTGGGTTCCGCGCGACTACTGTAAGTGACATGACTTATAATCGGTGTATACACTCTGTGACTTTCCTGAAATTGTGAAATTAATTTATATCTTTCTTTCTACGAAGTAATTCTATTTTATACACAATCTTTATTTTATATATTACTACCATTGAAGTAACTACTTCTATGAATTCGGTTTTCATCTTGTTGTGCTAATGAGGTTTGGCAACTTGGTTAGATGCATACACTCGCCTGATCCTATATTGTAGCTAATTGGCCTTAAAAATTATGTGTACACTTTCTTTTCAATTAAGTAACTGATAAATATCTACTACGCACTAGGTACTTAGTTTTTCTATATTCTATGACTAAAATCGAATTACAGTTCTATACATTAAACATAGAAATAACAAGAAGGCTACTTATAACAGTAATTAAAATAGGCTTAAGTTTAAGATAAGATTTTCAGTCATAATAACAACAAAAATATCTTCTAATAGTTGAGATCATAAGTCAATTAAAGCTAGATCACTATGGAAAACATGCATGTACTAGACGGCCGTTTTGTCCTATTGTGGGACTCCTCAGTAGTGCGCATCCACAATCCCGCACCCCGCGAAGTCCAAACCTAAGACCTATCAGATTCGCGCGCGATAGCCTAACCACTAGATCACTGATCCATCATTCAACGGTGTTAATGTCTAACTTCAACTAATCCACGAAATTGAGCGACACATTCACCATTGTCTTCATCGAGTTAATATCTCACAACTGACTCGTTTGAACTTCACGTGCAAGACTAATTGGTCATGGGTTCGAATCTCGCGGGGGGGGCGGAATCGTGGATGTGTACTGCTGAGGAGTCCCACGTGAAACGGTCGTTCAGCTCTTCCATGTTTTCCGTGATGGTCTAGCTTCAACTGACTCATGATTTCAACTGTTGCAATATTTTGATAAATAACTTTATTTAGTTATTTCTTATTTTTATTTTTTTTTAAAGTATCAAAAACAATTAATGTTATCAATGTAAAATAAAAATAAATCGTTTGTTCCATTGAATTTTGTAATGGTTACTTTTAAATTTAATATTCAAGAATATATTAATCAGATAGACATGATATTGATATAGTTGAGTAAGTATTTTACATAATAACGAGTTATTTCATTTATCTATTATTTAATATGATTCCATTCTTAAATTAAAAAGAGTGAACTGGTATAATTAAAAAAAAGTAGAGAAGTTCCATACTAGGACAAAATAACTGTCCAGTGTTTCTATGTTTTTTTATGTTGGTCTAGCTTCAATTGACTACACAAAACTCTTCTCTGAAAATAGAATAGTTTATTTTGATTATATTCAATTTTACTGTATGTAGATACTTTATTCAAGGAAGTATTATTGTCATGATATACTATAATATTCACAAGAATCCCATTCTGATACTCATCAACATATACTTACTAATGACTGGATATTTATACTTTGAGACACAGTACAATAGAAATTTAAGAAAGTATTTGAGGAGTATTAGAGTAAAACTAAATACAGTGAAAAGACTAAAATACCTGCTTTCATAATCATGTTACCCAGAGTCACATGACTTCTTAGTTCGGTTGATTTTTACTTTACATTTTATTGGTATTGCAACAACCTAAAATAATTCAACATTCTAGAAGGTTCTGTTCATTATCTGTCAAGGCAAAATTAATGTTTATCATACGATCATACTATATACTCTCAGTATGACAATGTTAAGTTAGTAGGCCAAATTGGTTGGGATTAGCAGACAAAAAAACTTATACTCATGATCTTAACTATTGAATTTACTACAATCTCCACAAAATCTCTTCTGATATCAATCAAAATATGCTTACTAGTGACTGGCTTCAAGTGGTATTTCCTGGATTTCTAGTGAGAAGCAGTGACTAGTGAAGTTCAATCGGGTCAGTTGTGAGGTAGTAGTAAACAATGATGAACTTGTGGCTCAATATCGTGTGTTAGTTGGAGTTAGACATTAACACCGTGAGATGCTGGTCAGTTCAGTGGTCTAGGGGTTAAGCGTTTGCGAGCTGTACCGATAGATCCTGAGTTCAAATCTCGCAAGGTGGGATTGTGGATGCGCACTGCTGAGGAGTCTCACATTAGGACGAAACGGCCATTCAGTGCTTCCACGTATTCCATGGTGGTTTAGCTTCAATTGACTTATGATCTCAACTATTGAAATTACTATAATATCCATAAAAAAACCCTTCTGATGATGTAGAGAACTGATTTTGTCTGAAAATAGGGCCATTCTTCAATGTGATTATTATGTCCAAGTTACTTGAAATATAAGAAATAACTTTATTTATGAAAATTTATTTAATTTTCATTTTGTTTATAAAAGTAGTAGATGATTGTACAATAACTATTCACCCCATTGAGAATTGCAACAACCCTAATCTAGAAATATACATATTTTTTCGGTAAATATTATCTTGATTTGTTTTCTCTGTCATATTATTATTATTGTCTTTATTGACCTAGTCACACCCTAATCATCTGAGCCACAATTTTTTGACTACTTTAAGACACTAGAAGTTACAAAACTTGATAAAAACAACTCGTTTCATTAGCCATCATCTTGTTTACATAATACATACATTTAGCACATTGAGACTTACAGAATATATGTATATGCTAAGTAGAGATGAATAATGGCCATCTGTGGAATCCAGGATGTGCGTTTTGTCCTATTCGTGTCTCGTCAGTTGGGTGTACCTGAATCGCAGAGTTGATGTTCACTCGGAGACTCGAACACAGTACTGTCTAACTTAAATATCCACTAAGCTACTGAGTCCAGATAGACACTGGCTTGTGCAGTCTCTGGAACATCAACTATGGGATGAAATAAAATTTAGCTGATGAGTTTGAAATTGAATGTATCGCTCATCCTGAATTTTAGTGTTAGACAAAATCCTCCCTTGATTATAATCCTTGTGGCTTAAGGCAACATCGATGCGATAAACACAGGATGCAAATATACTAAAAAGAGACTGGTCAACTGAAGACCTGAACAATAATGTGAAGATTCAAACAATTAATATAGATAAATGTGTATATGTTTCCCACAACATAAACATCCATACAATATAAACAAAAAGTGTACAAGTTCAACTTATAGTGAAAAGTGATGACTGGTGGAGTTTAATCACAATGGATTTATTTGAAAATCGTCAATCACATTAGATAACATTATTGTGATTTGGACAAATTTGAAAATTTCACTGGTTGAAATCATGAATCCATTGAAGCTAGACCACCATGGAAAACCTGGAAGCACTGGACGGCCGTTTCGTCCTAGTATGGGACTCCTCAGCGCGAGACTGATAGGTCCTGGGTTCGAATCTCGCGAGGAGCGGGATTGTGGATGCGCACTGCTGAGGAGTCCCATACTAGGACGAAACGGCCGTCCAGTGCTTCCAGGTTTTCCATGGTGGTCTAGCTTCAATGGATTCATGATTTCAACCAGTGAAATTTCTAAAATCTCCACACAATCCCTTCTGATAAATTTGAAAATGTACACCGTTTGATTTTCACTAAGTAGTCCGAAGGCAACTCGTTAACTGAGACAGCCGAAGTTTCTAAGTTCTATTCTTTTAGTGATCAGCAAATGTACACTGTTCTCTAATCCTCAAGAGTAACATCTTCCATTCATTTAAAACAAAAAGCTATGAAAAACAGACGTTCAATAAAACTATAACTACAAGCCTTTTATTTCTAAAGAGGAACTCTGTTAGTTTGTAATATCAACATCCTAATCACATACAAGTGTCCGACGAAAATTCCCTGCTATCCAGCAAATTTTAATATATTGGCCATAACATAAACTTGATTTACGAAGTTCACTCAGCAGTTTTATCTAAGCAGCATGATATCATTCATTACTCAGTAACTGATTGACATAAATACGTTAGTTTCTCAGGAAGTCAGTTACACTTTTAAGACATAACTAAAACATTTTATGCTCCTACACTAAGTAACAAGTGCTTAATTACTAAATGAAACGTCAATTTACTGGTCTTCTCTAAACCGATAACGAGGACTGGATGTCAAATATTCTGTCGATGGTCTTTAAATAGCTTTTAAATCTGTATGCCAAATCGATAACATTGTTTTGTGATTCATTGGAACAACTATTAGAAATAAAGTTTTTTCTAATAAAATAAATTGAAAATAAATGATTGATCAACTCGTTTAGGAATTCGAAGTAAAGAAAGTGCTATCTATTGGATAACTTATTTTCTGCGATTACGCTCAATATACACAGAGATAACAAGAACATACTCAAGGAACTACTCAAAACAACACACAAAAATATAGAGACCTTTCAGTTCGTAGGTCAACATCAAAAGAATAAAAGAACACTTCACTATTCCTGCCAAGTGATGAATTATGAAACACTTTAAGCTTATCGACAACATGATCGCTAAAATATGATTTACTTCGAAATACTTGTTCAATCCTATAATCGTTACCTTAGCGTTAATATTCCATCATATCCTGAATTATTTCGTTTATAAAAGCAGTAAACAAAAGTTAGTATTATAACATTTTGGCTCGTGAATGAGAAAGTTATGCAGATACCGATTGTAAACAGTTTGATGGTATGCTAGCTCCAAATATGAAACAGTCACCTATATTTAACCCTTGGTTGAAATATACAGTGAGAAGTAAGATCTTTCACACTCCCCAAAGTGTTCATGATTCAATCTAGATGGATGAGCACTCGAGCTATTTCCGATGAGATTCAATCATGAATATAAAAGCTTGGTAGCGCCACAAGCATGCTTTGCACTGTGATGAAATCGTTTATCTTCATTTAAAAACTTTAATATCTTGATCAATGAATAATCTCTCAGCAGCTTTAATTTTTCGCCTATCATTTATATCGTCGAATAATTTTGTAAATAGTTCTGTTTAGAAAGATGTACCGATCACAAATAAAAAAGTTGAACGTAACAGTCGGAATGAACTCTTATAAAAATTCAATACACAGAAACCTGTGAAAGATGACTATTCTTTATGTTCACACACTTTCATAGAAAACTTCAATTTAAAGCATGAAATATATTTACAATCATCATCATCATCATCATCATCATCATCATCATCATCATCATCATCATCATCATCATCATCATCATCATCATCATCATCATCATCATCATCATCATCATCATCATCATCATCATCATCATCATCATCATCATCATCATCATCATCATCATCATCATCATCATCATCATCATCATCATCATCATCATCATCATCATCATCATCATCATCACCATCATCATCATCATCATCATTTATTATTATTATTATATAACGTTTAACAATATACTTTAGATTTAACTTATGTTACAAGTATTTGTTATAAATAGAATGTTCTTAATCTGTTGCTGCTGACAGATAAATTATAAAATCATGATGTTTGGTATAAATAACAAACTTCTATTTTTTTAAAATGGATTTTGTAACATGTAAAAATGAAGGATAGAAAATTAGAAGTTGTAGCAATGTTAAAGTAATAGATAATAATCATACTGAATACATGTGGACCAGATAGCACGGGACAGTATTAACGAGAACATGATACATCTGACATTGATTATTATGTAGTGATCAGTCAATTGTGATTACATGCTACAGGAGGTTAGTCAGGACTCGGTTAGATCAATGGTAACGTCTTTGATTGTGAAGCTGGGTAGAACAGGATCGAAACAGTCAGGTAGCATCAGATCGTAGTTTGAAAACATATGTAAGCAAAATAAAAACACATTGATTTCACTAATCTTCATTCTTCCGATAAAAAAAAACAAAGTTGTCTATTAATTGATGAACTCTAATTCGTTTCATTAAAGACTCAACTATGCTATAGTTAAGATCAACTAATGATAATTATGAATTAAAAAAACATACTCATTATCTGGATATTCCACAATTGGAGTGCAGAATAATGAAATTATGGGATTAAATAATGTTTCTTATCTAATTTTAATGATAATTTCATACAAGAATGCCTTATATAGTTTGTTTTATACAATACTCACCGGTGATCATTAAATGTACATCTGAATCTTATTTACATAGATTGATTTATCTGACTGTACAAAATGCTTGTATAGAGTTTATTATCTAACCACACAAAACTGTATAACTTCATTAAACATAGATAGTAGATTACTTAATGGAGTTTCTCAGTGTCTATCAATTTACTTTATATTCATTCATAATTGGTCAATGAATTTGTTATACTATAATCTAATCTATATAATCTATTCTGTAAAGAATAAATAATTTAAATAAATTAAACAGAATTAAATCAACATGCATTCCCTATCAATGTGTTTATTTACTAATAAGACATTACAAATGAGTATCGTTTATAACATAAATAAATACATAAAAACAAGTACTTAAATATTATAACATTAACAGTTTGCATTAGCATGTGTACAGTTATCTTCATTATTGGTTGATTCCATTGAAGGTATGTTTATTTTAGTTAATTACTGCTATTAATATATGTTTTGTTTGATTACAATATAGACAATTTGAGTTATTTTGTTTTTGCTAATGTTGTATATGGTTATTTCAATTATGTTATTCTATGTTAATTTTCTATTAACATAAGACCGTTGGTAGATCTTAATATTTCAAATAACGATGGTAAGGTTACGTTTCATTAACCATTGTAACATCATGATACTATATTAAACATTAGATGGTTGTAAAATAAAAGATATTTATAAAAGTAAGGTAACATTATAAGCTTTGTTCAAATACTATATAATTCACGTTTAATATACGATACGTAGATTTTGACTATCATCTTTCCTCTATCCCTGGTGATCGACTGGATCATCAAGACATCAACATCTGAGAGGAAGCATGGGACACAGTGGACAGCTAGAATGAAACTGTACGATCTAGACTTCGCAGATGATCTGGCTGTTCTATCTCACACGCAGTACCAAATGCAGGAGAAGACGACCAGTGTAGCAGCAGCCTCAGCAGTAGTAGGTCTCAATATACACGAAGGAAAAGGCGAGATTATCCGATTCAACACAACATGCACGGATCTAATCACAATTAACGGAGAAGATTTGGAAAATGTAAAAACCTTTACATATTTGGGCAGCATCATCGATGAACACGGTGGATCTGATTCAGATGTGAAGGCGCGGATCGGCAAAGCAAGAGCAGCATATTTACAACTGAAGAACATCTGGAACTCAAACACAACTGTCTGTCAATCAACACCAAGTTCAGACTTTTCAATACAAATGTCAAGACAGTTCTACTGTGTGGGGCAGCAACCTGGAGAACTACGAATGTCATCATACAGAAGATACAAGTGTTTATTAATAGTTGTCTACGCAAAATACTTCGGATCCATTGACCAAACACTATTAGCAACAACCTATTGTGGGAGAAAACAAACCAGATTCCATTGGAGGAAGAAATCAGAAAGAAGCGCTGTTAGTGAAAAGTAAACATGTTGAGGAAAGCACTCAACTGTGTCACAAGGCAAGCTCTCACATGGAATTCTCAAAGCCAAAGGAGGAGGAGAGGAAGACCAAAAAACACATTTTGTCGAGAAATTGAGACAGGCATGAGAAAAATGAACAAGAATTGGATGGAACTGGAAATGAAGGTCCAGGACAGAGTGGGTTGAAGATTGCTGATCGTCTGTTTATGCTCCATTGTAAGTAACAGGCGTAAGTAAGTAAGATTTCGAGAACAAAATAAACTAGTCAATTTGCAAAGTTGTTTTAGAAAATAGATACAATTGTGGACAATCTACCGCCTACGTGCTCAGGATGAGATGGTTTAAGTACGAACATGTTATGAGTAGTTTTATTTGGTTTTTACTATCAGAATTTTACATCGATTATTCCATTTTTCCTCCGTCTGATAAGCTAGATTCTCTGTTTAGGAATCTAAGTAGTCCCTGAATCATATCATAGTTAATCCAAGTTGATAACTGAATTTCAGCATTAAAAAATAATTGACAATAAAATCAGTGTTTATTTTATTTTAAACAGTCAATCCTCACGTTTATTGTATACGTCTAGCCCTTCCTGAAATGAAAGCTTATTTATTGGATACTTTAAAATGCAGTCCATCCAAAAACAGGAAACGTTTTTAAGATATCCACTCAAATAGTTTCATTGCTTCTTCCAAGAATCACTAGTCCAAGTAGATATGTTGAAATAATTCAAATTTATTTTAGGTATATTTTGTGTACTTAACATTCAACCTTTGTATAACTATTTGTTTAAATCCTAATAAAGGTTTTTCTGAATAACCATATTTTGTGTTTCAACTAATTTTATTCAATTGATACTTTAAGAATAACAGTTATTGTATGTACGCTAAATTACTTACTGACGTGAAAGTTCATAACTAATAATTTCTGATTAGTATTATGGTGTGCACTACTTATGTCATCAGATATAAGTAGTACATAACACCTAGCCAAAGTAGAATGCCTGGCAGCAGAAGGTTCAGAAGAACGAATAGAAGAGAACGGGAACACTGGATAATTGGTATGGGAAATGAAGGAATAACAAAGTCTGAGACAATTGATGGACATGTTGCAAATGAACTATTGTATGTATAGTATTCACATTATACCAAATAACTGTAACTTTGAATTCAAGTATATTTGGTTGTCCCCACTTGTGTCCTCGTTCACTACAATATAATCCACATATATAATTTCCTAACAAATAACCTCATAAAAAGTTTCTTTAAATGAATTTAAATATAAATGCAATAAGTATACTTGATTTCACATATAAAAGTATTATTTAATATGAAAGAATCTATTTTATTTTTAAATTAAATCTAAAAAATGGTACTCACTGTCAATTAATCATCAACATGAACGGTGGCTCAATCTCGTGAACTGGATTAAGTTAAACATTAACATCGTTGAATGTTCTCGGTTCGAATCCCGCGGGGCACGATCGTGGATGCGCACTGCTGAGTCCCATAATAAGACGAAACGGCCTTTCAGTGCTTCCATATTTTCCATAGTGGTCTAGCTTCAATTGACTAAAATATCCACAAAGTTCCTTTCTGATAATAATTATTCACCAGTAATTACTTTAAAAACGTTAGTTGTGGCTTAGATAACTTATAGGTTAATCTTATTATTTGAAGAGTAGAAACAGATCTGAATACTTCACTATTGGAGTTTATGATATAACTGACAAACAACAGACGTAATCTTTATTATTATTAATTATCTCAAGAGTATATTGATTAAAAGTTATTAATTATTAATAAACATTCTTCGGAAGTAATATTTTAGCTGAATAAACATATAGCGATAATCAAATTTATGATTTATAAACTAATATATTATTAGTGTCAGTTCAAAGTTAACATCGACCCTCCGAAACAGTGTAAGTATAATTCTAGGAAAATAAAAGAATATTTTGCGGTCTCCCAATTAAGTTTCGAAATCTTCTACCCAAAGATGATACGTCCTTCCACATTCTCCAAATTAATGGACAATAATTTTTGATAAATACATTACAAAATCAATAAAGGTTTAAACAGACTTGTATATTAGCAAATTTTCAGGAATACCATAAACATTTTTTAGATTTTGTTATTTTACATTGTTCACCTAACCCAGTAAAGTAGAAAATAGGCTGAACAAAATCTTATACAAAACCTAACTATTTCGAAGATAATAGGAGAGCCGCCCACCTCTTATCTCAACAAGAACACACATCATTATAAGTGTATCAACTCCACCAGTACCACTTATGGTACCATTGCTGGTATCAAACCTGAATAAAGGAGAAGGGTTAGGTATGAGATCGTCAACAATCTTGCTATGAAAATATTGACCGGGAAAAACCATTTAAGCTATTTAAATTCTGCCCTCCGAGTTGAAGGATATTCATTTAGAAAAATTATGACTCCTCAAGGTGAAAGCCGAGATTCTTCGGAAGTTACGAAACCAACGCTCCTTCTTACAACCAGTACAACAATTTATATAGGTAAATTGGATGTCCAGACAATTTGAGAAACCGAAAGTTTTAGTCAAATAACCGTGGAAACGAGGAGATACAACTTAGTGGTTCATAGAATATGTCAAACTCTGTTCATGGAGAAGAAAGTGCTTCACACACTCAGGGAGTTGCTTTGATGCTGTCCAAATAAACATATAATGCAGTTATAGGATGGGAATCTCAAGGATCCAGGATTATCAAAGCATCACCCAAAACAAAGAAGGAGGGAATTACAGTGAGTGTTATCCAATGTTATGCGCCCACCAATCAAAGCAACGACGACGACAAAGAT